CAAGATCAGTGATGGAGCTGGGCCTCAAATACAGTCTGATACCAGTGTGCCGACTCCTACTTACCTGACAACCAACCTACCTACCTACCTCTCAACAAATAAGTGATTCCAAAAAAATATGCAGGCATACGAACCAAGGCTGCCCATTTTCTTTCTCTCTTCTCAAAGTATGCAGAAGCTTAACCAAAGATAACCATACGAATCAGCAGTCCAAGATTCCTAATCAATCTAAATAATGTTGCATTTTATTTTGATATAAAACCTGAAATCCAACTTCATTATGGAAAACCTGCTCTAAAAGATTCTTCCGTTTAACCGTAACCAACCTGTACAGAGGCAAGATGTTTTCTTTACAGACACACCAGGTAAATAAACATTTTCCCCAGCCCTTTCTAGTTCTTCACACTCTTCTGACTTCTTTTGGTGACTTTATTTCCAAAGTTCATGATCTTTGCCTACTATGTCTAAATTTACCCACTGCCCCACTCTATCCTCTTAAAATGAACTCAGATTCAAATACTGAAGCTGGAGGAACCTTAGATGGATCAGGCCATCTTAACACAGTCAGATGAAGACAGGCTCACCAGGACAATGTGAAAGGTGCCCTTGAAGTTGTGCAAGGGATAGGCCCTGCCCCGAGCTATCAAATTAGTTAGTGGCCAAGCTGAGACTATGGGCTGCTTAGTACTTTCCTTTACAATTACCTCCAGTTCCTTCTCCTCTGGCCCACAACAGGGATGCCAGGAGAGAGAAAGTCCAAAGAAAGTCACTCTTTACTATCGATAAACTGAATTTCAGCCCCCTCTTATCCTTGTTTATTCACAGAGAATTCTTTTGCACACTGACTTATTTGGAACCACTTTTGTTGATTCTCTTCTGTTATACTACCCACATTTAGGGAATTAAACCACAAGCAGCAACAGCAAACGCATTACTACTACCAGAAGACTTAAATCCCAGCAATACCGCGAAGTGTTTAGAGGTTTTCTTTCCAATGACACAAGGAGCACAGTACACAACCTCCTGTTACAATCACATATATTAGATGTGGTTCTAATATGTCATGCATCATTTTGAAAATTTACTATATATTATAAGGAATTACAATTCTGACTCTTCATTCCAGAAGACTTTTTCAAGGTATTGTTTTGGACAAATACATCAAGTTAAATAAGAATTTTATTAAAAGAAAAGCCATACCTTATAAATTATATATAAAAAGGGAGTAATAGGCAAGAAGAAGGAATACAAACAGAATTAAAGATGAAGACTGTC